TCCCGATGATTTCCTGACTTCGGTATGACGTTGCGATAAGAACCCCAGTCGCAAAAACACCGCCCTCTGCGCCGACGGCCTCGACGCGGGGCATATTTCTCGTCCCGACGATGCATAGCATCTCCAGAGTCCCGTGCGCCACCATGACGCGTTCTTCAGCGACTTCAGGCTTGTCTGGACCTCATTTGCAGGACATTCGACATGCCGTAATCAAGAGGGCTGCCCCGGAGGTCGGAGACTGAGCCGGTCTCACCCGATTTCGTTCCGCCAAAGGTAACCTGGTCTATCAAATCAACAGGAATTTCCTTTGAAGTTGCCAGCTGACATACCGTTGCAACCTTTCCCTTAGTTCTGACGGACCATAGCACTCCTGACCTAAGAATACCAGGATGGGATCCCATCCCCATCAGAGGCGGATCCAGCTCAGAGTTTTTTTTTTTTTGGGGGGGGGGGGGCAAACCATAACAATTTATGATTCTTTCCATGCATCGTCCATAGGCGTAATGTTAAAATTATGCCGTTTGGGGGGGGGGGGGGCAAATGCCCATTCTGCCCCCCCCCCCCCTGGATCCGCCACTGGGCCTCGTTCAACACAAGCCGCACCCGGACGGAAGGGATTTGAAGGATTTCCCTCATCCGTCGGCCGTCGCCGGTCGCAATGTTGTGGATGTTTGGTTTGTACAGGGACCCGCAGTTGCTTCTGTACACACTAGTATTTCAGCATATTCTTGGCCTGTGACACCGTTGAAGGCGAATTGGGAAATGATTGTGTGCTTATTAAAACCACCATCTGAAGGGCTTTAAACTGATGTGCTGCTCTCCTAATTCAATGAACGTTTTATGGCTGAATCAGCAAAACCTTGTTTTCAGCGCTTCTTCCTGCCCCATTCCTTCTAAAACCTGGAACCGCTTATTCCATTCACTCCTGCCATCTGACGATGGTCGTGCTGATTACTAGTTCCGGCGCTAGTAACTGCTCCAGTTTTGCACCCGGCACAAACGCAGGCGGCACGGGGGCTCGACCAGTGAAGGTCGGGCCGAGCCGACTGCCTGGGGCGCGGTTAGATCGGAGGCCCTGCTGGGGAAGGGGACGGGAATGAAGGGGAGGGCAGGAGGTGGTCACGTGGTCCGTCCAAGCTCGCACACGACCTGTCCCGCACCCAGCCATGTTCCGTGATCCAAAATGACACTCGAGAGCTGTGGAATTCGTGGAGGAGACGCTTCGAAAGTGAACTTCAGCTATTTTAACATATTCTGTGGAGATAAATGAATATTGTCTTGTTGCAGAAAAAAAAATTGTAGGCCTAAGCAGTAAGCTGTATAAGCTGTATCTTTTTAAAAGCTGTAAATAGGATTATTTTTAGGGACTTAGGGGTTTCGTATACACAGTGAAGTGTTATTAAGCCGCTTATCTATTATGGTTAGAACTGAAGCGTTATGCTTTTTCTCACAGGGAATGACAATACGATAACAAAACGAATAAAACCAGACGTTTCGCACAACAAAGTGCCTTCGTCAGTGGCAAGAAATAAGTCACTATAATAGGTATAGGACATAGGTGTTATCTCTCGATAAAATAGATGAAGTAGTATCTTTATTGTTTCAGATATATTTTCAGCAGTTTTTAAGCACATCATGGAAGCTTTTAAACATTTCTGTATTTTATCGGCAACCCGGCTGGCCAGACCGAGACGGTGCCGCATATATTAATAATCGATGTTAAACCTACACTTATTTTTCTCCACTGACGAAGGCACGTTGTTGTCCGAAACGTCTGGTTTATTCGCATTGTTATTGTATTGTCATTAACCCGGTTTACATAGCATATTTGACGAGGCTCTAGCTCGTTAATTTGGCGATAACTTCGTTGCAGTGTTCTTCAAATATTTAGAGGGCATCATTTTGTAAATTGTTAAGCACCATTGGCATCTTTTGCAACATCACGAACGGAGATATAAGCTTGCAACAAACCCTATGTAAACCGGATTATTGTCCGTGAGAAAAACATACTCAAGTGGACTGGTCTCAGTTCATGCAGAAATTGTCGCTCATTCATCAACACAGATAAAATGAATATTAACCCTCACCAACACATACAAGTAGAGTTAAGTAGACCCCGCCCTCTGTTTTTCACCAATACCTAAATCGCGGAAATGCTAAGGATTGCGACGATTCTTTAGTGCCCTGGAGATAATCAATTTTACAGCTTCCCGGAAAATTAAATAGCCCTTATTATTTTTGCACCTTTCCGAGAATTTGAAATCCCTGAACCAAATTACCTTTGACCTGTGATAAGTTTCTCTCAAGATCATGATGTTAGCCAGATGAGCGATTGAAAGTCAGTCAGCGCACATCTTCTGAGTGTTTCCATAGTCTTTATGTGATAACTGATAAGGGACGTGACAACATGTGAAATATAATATTTAATGTTTCTCATTGATTGTTGTGGGTGCCAAGGTCACGTGAAACTCAGATTAAGGTCGTTTACTTGAAGTGATGTCGGTTAACCTCTTTAAATTTACACCTTTTTACTGTGGTTTTTAGGTAATGTTGGTTTGAAATTTAGCATCCATTTTAGCTTTGAAAACTAAGTATAGTTTGGTATCTGTTATAGTGCCTATCTAACATGTTGCAAGGCTGTCAAAGCTGGTTAACATTCTATGGATAGCCGGCGGAACGCCTAATGGATGATCTGGCGTGACCTGTCCTACCCGAAATGCTTTGATTATTTGAACAAAGCAAGTGCAAATTCGAAGTCAGGAGGAAGCCAAGTCCCAGCAAACTTCACTTGGATAAATTCTAGCAGGATCCAATTTTTCGTGCTTTTGGGTTATTAACATGATCTGGGTGGTCGACCAATGACCTAGGATCTCAACATTGACCAGGACATAAAGATAATTGGCTTTCCCTCGTCACCGATGACCAGGACCCTAAAATCATCGGATTTCTCTCGTCACGAGGAGCACGCTCTTTTTTTCTTTTTCAGCGAAGCTCTGGCTCTATTATAAAGGGCCGAACGACTGAGGGCTTCTACGCCCCACCGCTACATGTGAGACGCTGAAAAATGCTTGTACGGGTGAGGTTTAAATATCGATTGGTTTTTAAGTACCGAAATACTTTAATTTATTTCGATAGCAGTTTAAAGACCGCTCGAATACAATAACTTCATGAACAATGTAAGCATCAAATAAAATGAATCGTGAGATAAGTGGCTCAAAATTGAGGAGCTATGAGACACTTAATGAAAAACGGTATATGTAGATTAGAAACTACCTACACTTAACTTGCACTGCCGTTTTAAAACCTTTTCGTTGCAGACTGATAGATGTTTTAGGATTGATTTCATCTGACGCTCAAATGATGTAGAGCTATTCATTCGTTCATTCATGCGACCATCCATTCATAAAAGAACTATCCAGTGATAAAAATGTTTATTTTAGAGAAGTGTGAAATACAAGCTCAATAGAAGTTTAATGATACGGCAAGTTTGACCGATTTTTATAATGAATAGACCAATAACTTTAACAAATCAAAGTTGAGAGCCCCAAATGCGTAACACAATTGAGGGCATTTTAAGCCATCACAGTATTTGTCAACAGTTGTTGTTGTTGAGGGAAGGACTGGGGAGGGTGGTTGCGGGCTCATAAACTGTCAAAAAAAAAAACAAAACAAAAAACGAAGCGATCATCCGCAAAAGAACTATTGAGCTCGAACCGAGCTGACGAATCGATTTATAGGTATGCAACATGACTAACGATGCCATTTTTTTTTTACTTCGTTCGTTCCATCCAGATTCCATCATCGTCCAGATTCCATCCAGATTCCATCATCTGGATAGCACGTCAACATCCTATTTGACATTTTGCAACAAACGTATACTATTTGGCGCGACTAGCCTCAGAAATGTTCTGAAACTAAAACCGTTTCTTCGCAAATAACTTTGCCCGCGTGATCCCAGCTTATGCACGACAAAAATAAAATACTGCTTCAGGATCACTGGCCTGAATTCCAATGCTTAAGGTTTACTTAAAACCGGTGTGGCTGAGGCACTATTCGCTACATCTCGTGACGCCCGTGACGGCCACCATTGTGTTGTATCTTTTTGGAAAGCTATAACTTAATAACGCAAGGATTGGTGAGTGGGTTGAAAACAGCCCTCCCCTTTTCTTCTTCTGGAAACATAAGTAATCAAAAGATCTGGCGATGGTTTATCCACCTCCTCTGCCGCCGCGCTGCGAGGCCTCGATTCGTTCGGTATGTGGCTTCCTGAGCGGTCCTCCCCGGAGGCAAGGTGAAAGGTCATGGCCTGTATCATAAATTTATACGTTCCTGAATATGTTTCACAGTTCTTTCAAGACCTTGGAAACCGTTTTATCATATCGAAAAAGCGTTGCACTTTCTTGTTAATCAATACATTTAAAGAAAACTTTATCACAATCTCATACTGCGGCAATTGTAGTTCTGCTTACGGTTGCCTCTTTATGATACGGGCCACCACCACCTCCACTGCGCTGGAGCTCTGGCGTTCTACCCTTCCCCGCTACGGACCGGCCCTCGGGCTAGGTGTGTTAGTACTGAGCGCAAACGTGTAGTAGTCACGTGACTTTCATACACGTAGCGGGAGCGGGAGCTAGTGGCGATACCAAGGACGGGCTCTGGGGAGGCAACCGGCACAGAAAAATAGCATGATTGTAGTTTTGGAAGAATATCTGTTGCGGTAAGAGGTATTATGCAAAACATTCGTCCTAGAAGCAAACATGTGTTACTCCTCCATACTTTGTGCTACACTTCTTTTCTCCAATGGCCAGCACTTAGCAAATAATAACACAATTCTAAATTGGTAATATATGTGTACAGTAGCAACTGCGGGTCCCTGTACCAAGATTACTTGTTTGTACGTTTGCAAAGGAAATGGTAGGGAAATACTTCAAAAGTTGGTAGCTCTTGAAAGTTGACGTTGCATCACCACTGCTTCCGGTAGAATTTTAAGTGGCCAGATTTTATCCACTGGAGCCCGGTATTTCATAGCATTTCCCAGGAGCCTGGCAAGTTTGCCCTTTTTTACGAATTTTCAGTAGTTTAAGTCCTTCCTCATTTTCTTGAAATTTCTCAATTCCTCAGATTGGTCATGATTTAAATATGAATGCAAGCAATTGAAGATGCTATTCGAGCAACAGGCATTTTTGCTTCGTCTGAATAATCTTCGGATTATTTACAAGAGAAAATTTCACGTTCAAAATAAACGTCAAGAAACACAAGACAGTGCTACCTATTCCACAGGTGCTGAAGTTCCTATTTTCTGCAATGTTTGCTGCAAAGGGCCTTGTGTTTCATTCCTAGCTCTCTAATTTGATCGGTAGACTCTCCCGTTTTCAGTAGCCATGACGCTAACGACTGCGCATGCGCTTACTGAGCCAATGAGGCCATCACACGACAAGCGACTGCCACGTTCGCCGCCGGAGCCGGCTTTTCGGAGATTCTCGTCGGGCGATCTTCCCATTTCACCGCTTGGCACAAGTTTGATCGGAAGGGGGCTTGCAGTGTTTTCATCATGAGGTTGATTCTGTCACTGTGCGTTTTGTTCGTGTCTGCATATGCAGCGATCGAGGAAGACGAAGGAGTGTTGGTTCTTACCAACGACAACTTCGACGAAGCGATCAGTGGTCATGAGTTCATTCTTGTGGAATTCTGTGAGTATTCTAGGCTCCCACGTGTTTACGTCCGCTATGAAGTAAGCATTAAGATAGTAAAATGCACAATAACAGGACTGAATGCTAGAAACATGATTAAAACAGCAATAGTGTTCCTTTATTTGTCAATTGTCATTCTCTAGTGAAACAAGTTACCTGCATTTCTTCAATTTCTTCATTAATTTGGTAATATAGATTAATATAACTTGCCTACTTTGTTTGGGTATTGGCACATCTTCCTGTCATTAACATAAATGATAACGCTAGTATCAATATATTTGTTATATCGTAAGAGGATAGAGATAATGCTGAATTTTTTTAGATTATTGAAAACTGATTCATGAAGTGTCCATGAGCTGTGTCCAGCACTGCACCTGCATTTAAACCTAGTGCATGTGAATATTGGTGCTGACTACTGGAGGACCATAGCAGAAGCAGAAAACTTAGGGCCTGTTCCAGCACCTCCGGAAAGTTCTAGACTTTTCCATTCAGCATTCTAGCACCTCCAGTAAGCTCCAGAAAGCTCTTGCCAAAGCTCCAGAAACCTCCAGTAGCCTTGAGTCAGTTAGGAGGTCCACATTTGACTGGAGGTAGGCTCTGGTTTACAATTATGGCGCTATATGACAATTACAAAAGTTAGGATTTTCACGGTGGATTTTACAATTCAAATGTAATGAAGATTACACTACTGTTATGCTTTTAACCTTTTTTACTAAAACTAAAACTTCTGTTTTCAAGTGTGAGCTGTTATCATTCTTTTGGTATCCCTAACACTGATCTTCAAAAATCTCCAGATTGCCTTCCTGTACCTCCATTCAACTTCCTAGTAGATCCACCAGCATTGCAAAAACAGTTGTGATGGCGGCAACAATTTTGACTGTTTTTGGTGGATTTTGAGGTTCATGGGACCATCTTCAGTAGTGCTGTGCTGTTCATGCAATCATAGTGCTGTTCTGGCTATTACTACCAGCACCTTTAACTTATGCACTGCTTATTATTGAGAAATTATTGATAAGAGGCTGAGTAGAGTAAGGATCAGGGTAGAAATGACTGCCCATTGTCACAGGTCCTTAGTAGGTAGGCATTGGTGACCTGCAGAAGACTCTAGTCACAGGATTAAAGCTTTGTTTGGTCCTTTATTTTGGCAGCATCAGAAGCACCAAGCTTTGCAAGAGTTGCTTAGATGGTATCTGTTTTGTAGTTCTGTGGATGGCATGTAGAAGTTTGCTCCATCCCAAAGCTGGCAACTGGCACTTTGTAGGTATATGTCTGACCATCCTGTGCAGTATTCACCATATTGTGGTTGTGAAGAATAGCTGGAACTCATGATATTGTTTCCCAGACTGGAAGAATGTGTTTGGTTGGATGCCAGAGCTGTAGACAAGGGATGCTTTGTTGCCTAGCATGTCTGTGGTTATGTACAAAAATCCTTTGATATTTCAGAATCAGATTGCAGGTTAATGCTAAAGATTGTGGCAAGTTTTGGCTGTTGCTAATGCCATGAGATGATTTTTTTTTTAGAAAAAGCAATCCACTAAAACTGAAATATTCTGAGCCTTTTAGAATATCATCGCTCTAGGAACTGCCTATTGATATTGAAACCCACTTTTGTTGGGCCCCACTCTCTTAATGGGCAGCCAGTCCACTTGATCAATGTTCTCTTTATATTGTAAGGACTGCTCAACAGATAGGTACCTAATCCTGGGTGTCCCAGAAGTTATTGTTAAACTGCAAGCATTTGTTTTATGCATTTGTTTCTCATTTGACACAACTATTTTTTCAAGTGTTTTTTTCCTGCGCACTCTGCGATGAATATGGTCCGATATTTATCGCTGCGTTCTCTGTTCCGCAGACGCCCCGTGGTGTGGACACTGCAAAGCCCTCGCCCCCGAGTACGCCAAGGCGGCCCAGGCGCTGGCCAAGGAGGAGTCAAACGTGAAGCTGGCCAAGCTGGACGCCACCGTGCACGACAAGGTGGCGCAGAAGTTCGGTGTGCGCGGCTACCCCACCCTCAAGTTCTTCCGCAACGGCAAGGACAGCGAGTACGGCGGCGGACGCACAAAGGACGAGATCGTCAACTGGCTGAAGAAGAAGACTGGCCCGCCGGCGACCAACGTTGAGACTGTCGAGGCCGCTGAGAAGGCCATCGAGGGCAAGGACGTCGTCATCGTCGGCTTCTTCAAGGACCAGGAGAGCAAGGATGCCAAGGCTTTCCTCAGCTTCGCCGGCGGCGTCGACGACTACCCCTTCGTCATCAGCTCTGCCGACGATGTCATCAGCAAGTACGAGGCGGCCGACGGCAAGGTCGTCATGATCAAGACCTTCGACGAGAAGCGTCATGAGCTTGAGGGAGACATCAACGATGACAACCTGAAGGCCTTCATCGCCAAGTACTCTCTGCCCCTGGTGGTTGAGTTCAACCAGGAGACCGCTCAGAAGATCTTCGGCGGCGAGATCAAGGCGCACCTGCTGATGTTCCTGAGCAAGAAGTCTGAAGATTTCGCCAAGCACACAGAGGCCGCCTCCGCTGTGGCTAAGGAGCAGCGCGGAAAGGTGCGTGTGAATGGGGGAGGACTGCCTTGGTGAGCTGCACTAGAGTGTTATCTGGCGTTTGAATGGTGATGCTTTGAAGGGGAAAACATTGCATTGGTACTGTATTCTGGACTATCCTTACGATGTTCTTTGATAGAAAATGTACTCACTGAATGACTGAAAAAATTGCAATTTGCGTTGATCGATCGGTTTCCAATCATGCCTGTTCTGTCATGTCACTTAATTTGTGCGTGGATAGTGCACTAACTTTAAAGTTTCGTCGATCACAACGTTACATCGTTTTACTGTGCCACTTGGGGGTCACTGAACCCGATCTCGGCCATCTCCGCTCCTTGCTCCGTGAATCGTGAGATCTCTAACCGGCACGGTCTTTCGTCCGCCAGATTCTGGTCGTCTCCATCGACACGGACGAGGAGGATCACGCCCGCATCATGGAGTTCTTCGGCATGAAGGCCGAGGAAGTGCCCGCCCTGCGCATCATCAAGATGGAGGAAGACATGACCAAGTACAAGCCGGAGAAGACCGGTCTTGAGGAGGCCACCATTCGCTCCTTCGTGGAGGACTTCCTGGCTGACAAGCTGAAGCAGCACCTGCTGAGCCAGGACCTGCCAGAGGACTGGGATAAGGCCGGCGTCAAGGTGCTCGTCTCCAGCAACTTCGACGAGGTGGCGCTGGACAAGACGAAGGACGTGCTGGTCGAGTTCTACGCGCCGTGGTGCGGACACTGCAAGCAGCTGGTGCCCATCTATGACGAGGTAAGAAGGATTTGGGTGGTTCTTCAAGCTCCTGGGGGTTTCGAATAGTGGATGGACAGTATTTTGGGCTCATGCTGGATGATTGCCAATTTGTTTTCCAAAATGTTTGTAGTGTTTCACCTGCAAGTAAGTTATGGGTGTTGAACCGAAATAGTTCTGATTGGATAAGTTTTTTTTTAAACAATGAAGCAACCACTAGCATCTTATCCCCATAACATATCTACAAAAGTTAATCATGCCACCTGCTATGAAAGCTGCTTTCGGTTCGTCAACCCCCATGACTAACCTCGCCCTCCCGTCCGCTCTCCACAGCTGGGTGAGAAGTACAAGGACTCTGAGACGGTGGTAATTGCCAAGATGGACGCCACTGCTAACGAGCTGGAGCACACCAAGATTCAGAGCTTCCCCACCATCAAACTGTGGAAGAAGGAGACCAACGAGGTAGGCCAGCCGCAGGGGCTGAAGGGAAGTGGTGGGCAAGGGTGGGACTCGACTCGAAATACCCATGTCTGGCGATTCAGGATTGATATATTCACGAGTTTATAAGGCTCTCACGCGAAGCTGCTCGGCCGTCTCACTCATGTAAAAAATATTTATACCAGTCTTTTTCTTAGGTTTCAAACTGATATTTTGAGCTTTTAGGTTCCTTCTTAGAAGGCTGGTTGTTACCTCCTAAGACAGTACGGTTCACGCTGTTAAGAGTTTGTAATTTGTATCTGGTCATGGGCTAGTGCTAGTTTATCACGTTGTCGTGATAAATCGTTCCCAGTGCTCCCGATTTAGCTCAGTCTGTAGTCGTGTTCGGTTCGCCGCGTTATTTCCCAGTGCTGACGTGTCCAATCTGACCAACATGGCGACGTGCACGCCGGCGCTGGCGCCATTTTTTCCCGCCCTGTGACTGGTGTTTGACGGACAGCTGTGGGGCCCTGAAGTGCCACGTGGCGCAGAGGGCCCGGCTGCCAAATGTCGCGCCTGTCGGGACTGTGGCCACGTGTACCGCGTCGGTGCTGCGTCATTGCCCTCCCTCCCTCTCTCCCACCTACCCCCTCTCCCCGCCCCCTCTGTCGCTCTATCGGTCTGACAGGTGTAATGTTCAGCTCGGTGGGGAGCCAGCGTGATGATTTTAATCCCTGGTGGGTTTTGAGTCGAGAGACTTTTACAGCAGTTTCATGTATTTAACCAACCCCGCTAAGACACCGCATGCGACCACCTCTGCGAGTTATCACCACGCTCTTTGATAAAGATTTTTGTGATAACATCTGTGATAAATTCATACTCGTTGCGAAAATAGCAAATCGCATGATGTGTCCTTTTTAGGAGAGCTCCTAGCAGTTTGAATGTCGCCCCAACCTTTCACCTAATGACCATTGTCTTAATATGCCACTCGCGGTGCGCAGATAGTCGAGTACGGCGGTGACCGCAAACTCGAGAGTCTGGTCAAGTTCGTCGAGTCGGGCGGCGTGGAGGGCAAGGCTACCGAGTCCGAGGCAGAGGCAGAGGACGAGGAGGAGGCAGAGGGAGGAGAGGTAGAGCAGCGAGAGTGACGGGGTTCACAGGACGCAGCGCCAGAGTGCAGAGTTGCCGTGCAGCACTACAGGCTACAGCTTTAGTAGCCGCCGCTGTGACCTGACCTGACCTCACACCGCCAACCGGTGGTGCCGCTGTGTATGTGTGCTGTGCCGCTTCCCCACCCCTGGGAACCCCCGCTTAGTGTGCTCCACTAGTGCTCCAGTGTGTTCTTGGCGAACGCTGAGCACCGCTTTCCTTGGTTGTAGGTCGTAGACTACAACGGCGAGCGAACTCTGGACGGATTCACTAAGTTCCTCGAGGGCAAACAAGAAGAGGTGAGTACGCCATGCCGGCGAGGTGGTTGTATGTTCGTAATAACATAGGTGAAGGTGGCTCGGTTAAATAACATCTGCTCGTTTCGTCCGTCCGTCATTAGTTTGTTTTGTCTGTCCAACCTCTCAACTTCATGGAATCTGGAATGGAACTGCGATTTGATCCCAATAACACAGAAGAGCTTGCATGAATCGCTTACACGTTCGAAACGCGGCATGCTGAGTTACTGACTACCGACATTAGGAGCTTTAAATTGGGGTTATTTCGGTGCAACGCCCGACGAAAATTGGTTTTCTATTTTTGGTGCCATGGGGCCTGAGCTGCTGAGATCGTCTAGGATTATTGACGGTCGGGGTTGGCCGCTGGAGTCGACCGGCCGAGGCTTTGTGTGCTGTGGGCTACCGATCGAGGTCCCATGTATAGCCACAGCGTGGTAGCCGCCGCATGGGCCTGGTCGGTGGCAGGCGGCAGCGGCATGGCGAGGCCTCGCGGCGGCGGCGGAGGGCGGCCACGGTCACGGTCGGTCACCGCCCCCGCCCCCGCCCGGTGCGCCGCCGCCTCCCGTGGACCGGAAGACTAACCCGCTAACCATGGCCCGCCGCCTCGTCGCCGCCGCCGCCGCCTCGCTAACCATACGGGCGACAGTCTACCGGTCGGCTGGTCGGTTTCGGCGGCTCCGCGCCTGCCGCCAACGCCTCGCTAGCCGTACGGGCGACAGTCTACCGGCCGGCCGGTTGGCTGGTAGGTCGCGTCGGCTCCATGCCTCTGCTGCCGCCGGCCGGCCGGCCGGTTGGTCTGTCTGTCGGTCGGTCTGCTCCGTCAAGGTCACCGCCCTGTACGGGTGAACGCCCCCTGAGCCGGCCGTCCGGTCGGCTCCGCGCCGCGCCGGCCGCGGCAGTCGCCGTGACGTGGCCCACGCCGCTCGGTTCAGGGACCTCTCTAGCGCCACGTAGCCCAGCCGGTTTGCCGCTCTGCCGGCGGGGCGGGTAGAGCGGGGAGGAATGTGGCCTGGGGAGAGCGCAGACAGGTGCGGAGGGTAGTTTGGCCAGCTGCGAGCGGCTGGATTCCGGATATTGTGCGCGGGCTGTCTATGACCCCAGCGGCTGCGATGACTGATGTTTCACAATAACCCAGTATTTAACCCCATCATACCTACGGGGAAATAATTTATCAAGTAGACGGGACCGTTCCAACAATCACTAGGTCGATTGAGGCATCCGGGAACGGAACTCTCCGGCTTTGCCGTGACTAACCGATTGCACCATACCTCCTCGTTGGAAGAATGACATTCAACTACGAAGGGATGACATTCAAACATAACACTGGCATGATTCACACGTTGGACGTTCGGGTAACAGCGGGTAGGGTCCGGTGGGGGTTGTGCAAACCGTAGCGGCAACGGTATGGTATGTATGCGTTACGGGGGCTGCCCCGGGTGAACGCTGCATGATGCAATATTGGATTCTGGCGGTGCTAGAATTGGTGATGGTTGTCGCTAACCTGGCATCGTTCTGCGATTTCTGAGGCTTGGCAGAAAGCATGTGCTTGGTTTTCTTCTTAGCATTCGTCAATATTGTTGCCTGTTGGCGTGTGTAGACGGGTTTTTACAGTATGACCTCGTCATCGCGAACTCTGTTTTATTTAATTTCCTTTTTAACTTTTCTTCTCTCCCTTGATCATGTTTCAATAAGCCATTGTTATGTCAAAACGTAATGAAAATTAGCGTGCTTTCCGATTATTTCTGTGTAAATTATATATTTTTCTGTCAACCGATCATCAATTTTACTGCAACATACTCAGTATTCAACCTTCGTATGCCGCTGTCAATAATCGTTTTTCTCTCTCTGTCCTGTCTTATTAGTGACCGTTTATGTCAGTGTCCTGACGCCCTTTTCTCGTCTCACGTCCGTGTCCCGTTCCTCAGGAGGGCGAGGAGGAGGAGGAAGAAGAGGAAGAGGATGAGGGAAAGCACGACGAGTTGTAGATCTCCTTCAGCCGCGTGAGGCCGCCTGTGAGAGCGGCCTTCTTTCCTTTCTTCCCGGAAAGCTGCGTACGCCAGCCGCAAAAGGCCTATTTTTGATACGTTGGCTGGCAGCCCGGTCCGCGGCCACTGGACGTGGTCTGCTAAAGAGTGGGGGCAGGGACTGGGGACGTGAATTTGATCTGTGCAACGTTCATTATGGGGGTGGTCTCGTCCACCAGTGACACAGGGCATATTTTGTAACAGAGTGAGAGAAAGAGAGACTGCTGGTTTTTTGTTTTGCACCGCTGGTTGCTTGTTGTCTACTTCCGTTGGCGGGCCCTTTCCACAGAGTTTTTACACGCGCATGCGTAGAATTCCGGTGTCTGTGACTGCGGCGTCGGTGGTTTTATTCGTGTTGTGTGTAGAATATTTATGAGACGGGCCGCTGTGCGGCGGATGTCTGGTTGAGGGCGTCTGATACGACCCCGTCGAGTCACAACTCGGCCGATAAATCCCCATGGGCTCCCTGTCCGCGGAGTGAAATTTATACCATCGTTCGGTGCGGATTTACACTAAATGTGCAGTTCGTCTTTCAAATTCTGCGCCGGCGTCGCCGCCCGCCGCGGCTGCCCCGCGCGGGAATTCCTTCACCGGGTGAAGCGATTTCTTGTGTTTGTGAAGAGATTCCGTCACGTGGAGAGGGTTTTTGGTGCGTGGCAGCGCGCGCGGCGGACGGCAGTGCCGGCGGGCGCTCGTTTGGGTGAACCTGCACGGTGCGATGGGTGACCAGATGTTTTCCGAACTCCTGTTGGCTCAGCGACGAATACATGGCGACTAAAGGTGAACGAGGCTTTTATGGCGGAGTTTGAAAAACTGAGGCAGTTTGGAGAGTTTTGATGGGCTTCTGGGACCAAGGTGGGAGACCCCGGGAGCAGTGTGGACTGTGGAAGGGTCTAGGTAGGAGCGTAGGAGGCTCTGAATAACCTGTGGGATGAAGAGCTGTATGACTTCTGGGAGACTCCGGATGCCCATGGGAGAATAGTGAAAGGCCTTTGGAAAAGCGGAGATAAATTTCTGAGAAGAGCAAAAATATCGCCGGAAAGCTGCCCAATGCTGGGATGTCTGAGTGGCGCCTCTAAGACCTTTGATTGCTCTGCGTTTCGGAGACCTATGATAAGCTCCAACCCAGCCCACCGTCATGCGTCACCGCCCGCCCTGAAAGGTGTGCCGGGCGGCGTCAGGAGGCTAGCGAGGTAGGGAGGGAAGCGGGGTGAATCGCCGCACGGGTGGGGCCCGACCGTCCGCTCGGGTTCCCCGCACACCGTTATACCGCGGCTGAGCCGCCGGGGTCGATGGCATTTTATCAGACCAGCGTGAGACACCGGCTGAGAAGGAATGGTACGCCAGCCCGTTCCGTGATGGGATAACCGTCACGGTTTTACGTCTTGCGGAGTGGTATAACGTTATTTCGGGTGTGGTACGGTTAATCCGATGAGGGTACCACATTTTGACACTATCGGGATATCTGACTTTCGTTATATAGCGAAACTACAGCCATTCAAACGAACGAAAGCGACTGTTATTCGGCGAGTTTTGCTCGAGTTTGCTGGTCGGTCTCCTGCAGACGGTCTGGCGTTTCCGCTGTACGCAGAACGAAAACACTGCGGGCTGCACTGCTACGAACTAAATAAACAATGTTTCGGCAGTCTGCACTGGCAGCTGACCTATTCGCTAGGGCACGCAAGCGTAGCGCACATTTTGCAAGTTTGCAAGCACCGGTTTTAGTTCGCTGCATGTGGTAGCAAACGAGTGCATTTTTTTTTGCAGTTTTGCTGATAGGGCATCGGACCGGATATGGCGGTCTATAGCTGACCATGGTCCAGGCTGGAATGTTATCTCAAAGAGCCATCGACGACATACGATCCGTACTTTTGTAGTGTGACCCGTCGCCTTGGGATAACGAACTACGAAGAAGGCATGCATGTGCATTGTGCATTGGACGGTCACCAATATAGTCTTCTGCTTACGATAAGCTAAAAGCGATTCCCTTTGGTGTCTTCTAATCGCAGGAGGGGTTGGTTATAAATTGCATCGCCCGCCGATATGCATGGTTTATCATTTTGCTGGAACGGTTTGATGTTCGCTCTAAAGCAGGGGTCGGCAAATGGTGGGGCATGCCCCCTTTGGGGGTAATGGAGCCCCTTCGGCGGGGGTAATGAGGGCCCCTGAGAAAGCCTAGCTTTTTAGAACTAAGGACTTCCTTGATGGGACAAACATCGTGATTGTTGCGCCCCAAAGATTTACCCAGGCCAAACGCACACAGCATGAATTGCTTACATGGCGCATACCAATTTTTATATAGCTTCACACCATTCCGTACAGTCGTGCAAAGGCAACTGCAATGTTTTAACCATCGCCTGTCTACTGGCGCTTTCACAGCCGCTTGTGCAAGGGGAGGGCCCTTGTTATTTCATCTCATTGAAGAGGTCAGTGGCAAGTGTCGAGAAAATTGTGACCCGCTATAACTTCTTGAAGTGGGATTTTATGGCCCGACATGATCACCAGAAAAGTTCATAAGCCAACGGTCATTTGGGCCCACGTCCATCATCCATGTCATGATGTTATCCGGGCAGGTGGAAAAAAATGATCGGCCCGAGGGTACAATTTTGTTGTAATCCGACGCCTTTTACGTGAGTTATTCACGACCCGCTGCCCCTATACGTACGAGGGTTAAATGTGATATATGAAATGTTTTTTGGAGGAAGTGTCATGTTTTACTCCGCGCCTTGCTGGGGCTCCTGGATTTCCACGCCCTGCTGGGGGGAGGGGGTGTTTGTTTAACCCCCTTCTAACTCGGCTTATAGGCAACGTAACGATACGTGGTTGGCGGCGTTCGAAAGAGCGTAAAAAATAATGTCGAAATCAAGTCCGTCACTTTTTTGGTCAGGTCAAAGGTCATGTCACCAGAGGTCATCGATAGCCAAAGTGTCGCCGTTTTTTAGACATTCGCGAAAAAACCGGCAGGTGTTCAAACACGCCCTCCCCAGCAGGGCGTGAGTTAAATTTGATGCATCGGAAACGCAAAAATACCCAAAGAGTCACGGAAAGGTATGGATTTTCAGTAAAATTGGTCATGTAGGGGAGAGGCGGGAGAATTGGGACGCAGGAGAATAGGGACACGCCAATATTTAAAAAATGGGCAGCATCCTTGCACGATTTTTGCCTTTACCTTTTGATTCAATGTGTCGTGCAACGACGGGAAGCCTCAGCAACCCTTTTGTGTCCGTCGGTTGGGCTGTGCTGGCTGAGCACCAAAAAACTTGTTTTTTCGAGTGTTATTCTGAGTTGTCTGTGTATTGCATATGACAAACTATCTTTCTTTCAAGATGTTACGATGTAAGCTTAGCACCGCCTTTATGCGATTGCCAGTTTGCATGAACACGCTCTGAAACTGACAAATGACAAAAAATGCGTCATTTGATATAGCGGTGTTGTGGGAGAATTGGGACACCAAATAGTGAAAATGGTAAAAAGGTGCAAAAAGATGTGTATTTACCTTCATGTTTTGGACGGGGTTGCAGCTGCGCTCCCTAACCACAAATGCATCAAAGCGTAGACCAAAAAGTCTTAAAATGTGCATTTAATGGGAACATTGTGATCGTGAAAGACAATCCCGGCCTTAACGAAGCAGATAATGTGAATATAAGTTCCAACGTTTCAATTGATTGCCTAGACATAGACAGATCAATAATGCGAGATAAAAATGTTGTCCTAATACCTCATTTTTATGTGTCCCAATTCAGCCTCGTGTCTGTCCCTTTTCTCCTGCGTGTGTCCCTATTCTCCCCAAAATGAGTGTTTTTGTTTTTCTCCACACATAGCCACACCACTGCATAGGCTCGTTTTTTTATGATGGTATGCTGCAGAGAAATGGCCTATCTTTTATTGGTGCTGCACATAGCAGCTTGGCAACAATTCTTTTCAAATAATGCCTCAGTAAATATGGCTTGAGAAATAAGTCCCAATTCTCCCGCCTCTCCCCTAAGCCAGTGGTCGGCAGGTCCTTCGGGGTCGTGCCCCCTTTCTGGGCGCCAGGCAGGGCCATTACCCCCACCTACTAGACTCCATTGATATATAGTGGTCTATGTGTGAAGCTATATAAAAATTGGTATGCGCCATGTAAGCAATTCATGCTGTGTGCGTTTGGCCTGGGTAAATCTTTGGGGCGCAACAGTCACGATGTTTGTCCCATCAAGGAAGTCCTTAGTTCTAAAAAGCTAGGCTTTCTCAGGGGCCCTCATTACCCCCGCCGAAGGGGCTCCATTACCCCCAAAGGGGGCATGCCCCACCATTTGCCGACCCCTGATGTAAGCAATGGAGTCTAGTAGGTGGGGGTAATGGCCCTGCCTGGCGCCCAGAAAGGGGGCACGACCCCGAAGGACCTGCCGACCACTGCTCTAAAGCGATTAGCGAATGACTTCTTCCCAACATAGCACTGGGCTCGATATAGCCTTCGGCACAAGACAGACCGATGAGCTATACATAGTTTGATCAACGAAAGTTATCAAAACAGACTTAGGTATGAGATGAATTGCACCCTAATACCTATGGCTCGCGGCTCACAAGTTTCATGGTTTAATTTTATCGTAATCTAGACAAAGGCTGCCTCTAGTCTATTTCAAAACATCTTGTGCTCTTCCAAAAGCTTATACCAAACTTTGGCCATGAATTTACGTCAAAAGTTATTTTGGCACGATCACATGAAATGAGCGAAACGGTGAACCGCCCACACGAGTGCTGCGTCCCTACCAAATAGCCACGGTGACTATAAATACGGTGATCTCATCTGGATTTGGTCACGTGATCATTTTCGAGCGCAGCGCACGTGCAGTTGTGGCGAGGGCACTTCCAGAAATTCTGGATCCATGCGATTTTGGAGCCAATGTAAAGTCTATGGGGAAATGGTTCATTTTTATTTGTTTTTCTTATCACACCTAAACTTTCAAGTTTTTCTCAAAGATACACCCTGATTCAGGTGTAGAATTGATTGGTCTTTCATATGGTATCAATTTTAGATTTTTATCGGATAATTTCAAAAACTACTTACCATTTAAACTACAAAAAGAGGTGATTGCGGCTAAGCATTGCGACAGCCATGTCATGTCATAGGGAAATTACGATTTCTTTTGCATCTTCATTTTAACTGTTCTCGAAGCCAGTACCTACTGGATGATTCATGCGTAGAATTTGTTGAACTTTTGTCTTTTGTCACTGTTAATGCCTTTATGAAATAATTCATCAAATCATTTCGCCCCGGCCGACATGAACGCCGCCTGTGAGCCGGTTTTGGCGTCGGGGAGAGAGAGAGAGAGAGAGAGAGAGAGAGAGAGAGAGAGAGAGAGAGAGAGAGAGAGAGAGAGGGGGGGACGGGGACGGGGACGGGGACGGGGACGGGGACGGGGACGGGGACGGGGACGGGGACGGGGACGGAGACGGAGACGGAGACGGAGACGGAGACGGAGACGGAGACGGAGACGGAGACGGAGACGGAGACGGAGACGGAGACGGAGACGGAGACGGAGACGGAGACGGAGACGGAGACGGAGACGGAGACGGAGACGGAGACGGAGACGGAGACGGAGACGGAGACGGAGAGAGAGAGAGAGAGAGAGAGAGAGAGAGAGAGAGAGAGAGAGAGAGAGAGAGAGAGAGAGAGAGAGAGAGAGAGAGAGAGAGAGAGAGAAGACCAGGGGCCATCGGTAAGGCGGCGTACCCGCGCGGGAGCTCCACGCCAGGTACTGGGAGCGGGCTCGCCTTTTCCTCGTAGTGACCCATCAAGGCTGGGCGGCGGCGGTACTAGTTTCGCAAGGGACAGACATGGAGCGACTCGGGACTCGTCTCAGTCCGGCCGCTACCCAGCCGCCCGCCGCGCCTGGCCGGGCTGCTGCTTCGCCGGCCGGGTGGCGCAGGCGGCCCTCCCGGCTCCCGCCCGTCTGGGATGCGCTCCCCAACCGCAGGGCGTCGGCGGCGCCCAAGAGGCACAAGAATAACGGCGGTGCTGCGGGCGGCTTGTGGGGTGACGGTGCCGCGCTCCTTCCCCGGCTCCTCGCCGTCCGTCCCCTCTCCCCGATGCCGTTTTCTTCCAGGGGAGGCGCCCCGGCCGCCGTGCCGGGGCGTAGCGCAGTCTGTGCTACGCCCCACAGCAAGATATTCACCCAGGCTAGATTAAGGTCACAACAACCTAGGATTAAGGGTGGCTACAGACTTTAGACTTAATGCAGACTTAACATGAAGGTATTATATATGCAACTAAATGACACACATGGTATTTGTTCTAACCTTATCAACAGAAAGTGAACATGTCAGGACAGCACCCCTCGATGACCATTATACTCAAGGGGTGTAGGCACTGATTCCCCAGGGGTGAAGTGATAGGAGCACAAACATGAGTCACTAGTTGGCTCTGTGTCTTTCCTCCTGCAGGAAAAAATATATGTGTGATGCCCAATGTGAGGTAACTGCATATTATAAAGCTGGAAATATTGTACAAAGTTATGACAACACAAGCAAACTATGCATGTTACTGCTCTTGTTATTGCTATATTGATATGAGACCTCACAAGACACAAAAATATGCATGGTAAAAAAGGGAGCAACAATACATTTCAAATGTAGCTTGTCATTAAAATGATCATGAATTTCACTACATCAAAAGTGAATGAAATTAAGTGACCAGTATAACGCCTTTTGGGGCGACTAACGGAGCGAGCGAGAGGGTGAGCCTTGCACGTGCGAAATTTCGAGGGGGTACCTCCAGCTGACTTGTGCACGGCACCCTACTAACCGGTTTCTAGCGATGTGCCAAATTTGAGCATAATCGGCCCAGCCGTTCTCGAGATCTGGAAGCGGCACCCTGCACGTGCGCACGTGCAAAATGGGTCCCAACTGACTTTTGCACGGCACCCTACTAACCGGTCCCTAACCATGTACCAAATTTGAGCGCCATCGGTCCAGCCGTTCTCGAGATCTGGAATCGACCCCTGCACGTGCGCACGTGCAGCAGCACCCCAACTCTGGCACATGGATATGCATTGCCTAGTGGGTGCCTAGCTACATGCCAACTTTCAGCGCAATCGGCCAAGTAGTTACCGAGATATTGCAACAATTACAAAAGTGACACCTCTTCGTTTTGCACGTGGCACGTGCATAAGGGGTCACCCACATGCATCGGGAATAGTCCAATACTTGGTAGAAGGAATGAAGCTACCCTACAAAAATTACCGCATGTAAATCGGTCAAGTGGTTGCTGAGATATAAGCGTCGCAAAAGCGTGACCACGGCCGGCCGGCCGGCCGGCCGCTCATACTCAGAAATTTCCGTTAATCTAAGGAAAGACTACGCTCGCTTCGCTCGCTCCGTAATAATCAAAGACTGGAAAAGAAGATCAGCATAACTACATAATATGTCTTGTTTCCAAAGCTAAAGTATGATCCTCAATGTTGCAAAAGTTGGTTGACTTTAACAATAACTTTGAATAAAAAAACAACATATGGTAAACAGTCACACTTCAAGGAAATCGCAAGATCCATCCAAACTTTGACATGCCCTGTTTGGAATGCTGTTAACATGCTATGATCTTCACAGAATAGGTAAAATCAACTCAAAATATTACATTCTTTTATTACAAATCATATCTTCCCATGAACTTCATTATTGTGACTGCAGAGCTCATTCAGTCAATCAGAGACTGTGCAGAGACTTCATCATTCAAACAATCTGAGAATCAATGTGCAGAGACTAACACTTTAAAATCTAGTGACATTTCACAAACATCTTTTATGCTACAAGCTTATGCTTACCAAACACTTTTTCATGACTCAAATATGGTGGTGTTTATTTTAAGTGAAAACATTCATCCAGCACTAAGCAGATTATTTCTAAGCTCCACAAAGTCCCAATTTCTGTTATATTTCGCTTGGAGTCACTTCATAGTTTGAACTCAAAGTGCCTTGTGGATTTACCTCAGTTATGTAGGTAAATCCACAAGGATTGATGGGCTTTACCTCAGTTATGTAGCTGCTCCCTCAATTTAAGTTTCTCGTTAAATTTCACTGAGGCGTTGCAAGATGGGCTGTAGCCAAATTCACTTCCCTGTTCGGCTGATGCTCACAATACCTGGACATTTTTAATTCCAATTTTTGTAGCTGTTAACAATTGATGAAGGCCCAAGTACCTAAACAACAATGACGTTACAGAGGAAACCCCTGGCTGTGTTTCACGGGCGCGCTGGCGCTGCCAGCGCAATCTGTGAGCTAGCGTCAACCTCTGGTAGTGTTGGAGGTATAGGCTTGTTGATGTCTCTATGGAAATCAAAAGTGGCTGGCAAGTGTCGCGAAACACCACCCTTATTTTTGCACAATAATGGTGTGATAACTGTTGCTGCAAGAAAATATAAGGTGAAGTGAAGACGTGAAGTAAAATCAGGTCAGACATTAATATATACCCAAAAATAGCAGTGTATGGAGTACCTATATTCACATTACCAATAATATGATGCACAACAGGCCATAGAAAAACAGGTGAATATGGAATTGTAACCCAATTTCAATATCAACATGGCACTTGGCATTAACAGTAAAACACAAAGTTTTTGATGTTAAATCAACAGAGAAAACTCCTGAACATAAACAAAATGATCAGAATGTATAATAAGGATAAAAGTATAAATAAAAATCGACGAATCAGCCTATCATCGCCCTTACACATTCACCACTCCCCATTCCACGCACAGATTGTTTACCCCTTGGCTTACCCCGTGTTCGCAGTCTCCCGGACGACGAAGATTCTAAACGCCGTCCGACCAATCACGTTCAAGATCAGCGGGGCTTGGCCGCGGTTCTCGAACGTCATTGGCCAGATTACGCAGAATCTTAGTCGTCAGCAAAACTTTGAACACGGGGTTATATTTTTCGCTATGGTAACAAAAGCGCCAGAATTGACTACCAGAATTGGATCCGAAGGTCAAATGGGTCACGTGACTGTGCAGTTCAGATGGACAACACCTGCAAATAGCCATCATCACAGCCCGCCATACTAAACCGACAGCGGATGACCTTTTCGCCCTCGTGTCGCTCGGGTCACCGCCCCCCCCCCTCCGCCCGCCCGCAGCGGACTGAAGTGGTCGCCCGTCTGTCGGCGGGGAGGGGTAAGGGGGAGGGGTAAGATCGATACCCCAGGGCCCCAGCTGGGCCGCGCGCGGTGCTCCCGACAACACCTGCGGGGAAGCAACCAAGGCAGGGAAAGGTAGCTGGGATTGTGGCCGGTTGCTCCATTATGAGGCATATGAAGAGAAGATTACGAGGCAATTTCATTGTCGAAATTGTTAATGAATTACATTGACATTGAAAATGAAATAAAATTGAAAATAAATAAATTACATTGAAACAAATTACATTAACAAACAGTGCATTGAAATCGAAGGACCACTACGTAATGCCTCTGAGTTCAGGGGGTCAAACGGTTATTTGCATGGCGTCCATGAAAACTTCAGGCAGATAGTCCGTGTAACGGTAAGAACCACCCTCTCCATGGGTGGAGTAGCCATGAGTACCGGATGGCCCAGCCCAGCCCGTGACCGACTTCCGCCCATGCAAACTGCATGAGAGCGAAAGAGGGCGTTGTCATTCGGCGTCCCGCTGCCCATACGAGCGCGTAGTCCCGTATGACTGCCCACGCTTAGTTACGCCTTCATTATAAAACTTCCCACTAAAATACTTCATAAAATCCCATAGAAGACGTGGGCTACGAGAGGGCATAGGGTACGCCTGCGCCGATGGAGTCGACGGTTCGTGCCCAAACGTCTACTCGACATCTGGCACTTGACAGCCCCTTCCCTCCACTCCGTCAATCAAGTCCCCCCCCCACCCCCACCACTCAGCCTCCCTCCCTCTTCCCCCCACACCTTCGATCACCAGGAAATGCTCGCCAAATGTTCTCTCAAACCAACTGTGGGGTGCGATGGCCATCTTACAGCCTGTTTCTATCGAGCTCGATCGCTGTTATCAGTCCACAACCGTTGGATATCGTTGGGGCCATCGCGATTCCCAGATGTTTCTGCAGCTGCACTTATAGAGCGCATGTAACGCATGAACGCATGAACGCAAGGGCTCTAGTTCCTGGCACGGTATTTCAATACATACACATACGTGACATCCAGGTACCATCCACATCGCTATTTGCTTCAAGCATTTCGCACTCCGTGGGTTACATAAGAGAAGTGATGTAGCGCTATCAGGGGATGAATCTGGCAATTTTTCCACCGTCTGTAAACTGTGTTCTCAAACGAAATTCGGTCAACCACTATCATGATTATAATACCCACTCAGTGAACCAAGCACTGGTATATTTCAACGCACAAGCATAGTGATCGGACAAGACACTAAATTACAACGGTGGATGCCCCCGTTAGCGCAATGAAAATGGCCGTGGAACCTCACTCAGTCTGGCAACCCTATCCTACGAGACCCGACCAGTCTCGCCCCAAGGTCACGTACGGGTCGTGTCGTGCAGGACCCGTCCCTGACCCAAGCCACGACACTGTTCATGCCACGACTTGTACCGTGTCGGGTCAGGTCCCTGTCTGTTCCATATCAGGCCGTGTAAACGCATTGATGGTTTCAGCGCCGAATTTTCTCTCCTTCCCGACAGTCGCAAAGCGTCTTTCATCTGAGAGACGTTACTTATGGACATCACTTGGGGAAGGCCGATAAATGAAGAGAATAGTTTCACGCTACTTCGACGGCGGTGGGTGGTGGCGTGACAGCACTCGCAACGGCCCAGTAATTATGCTCGATTGCTGAGGGATGTTATACTGAGATGTAAATTGTGTTGAAGTTACCAGTTTCTTTCCGTACAAGTAGCAGCACATCCAGTTGTATGCGTAGCGTCACAAGCTGCCGGCTGAAAGTCGAGCCAGCAACTTCTTCACGAGTTTTCTACGAGTCCTCCGTAGCACGCACACTCAAATCACATCTCTGGCGTAAGGGTTATGTTTTTCCACCGGCCGCACAAACATTTGTCGCCTTTTGCCACGACGTTCGCAAGTTCCACCACTTCAACATGTTGAACTCCACAAACACTTCGGAAACGTAGTCTGTATCTCTCGCACACCGGTAGCCAGTGTGTCTTCCACAATTCAGCATCGACTTCTGAGACACAGCAGCTGATTTCAGAGATGGTAACTGAGACGCAGATATAGCTGGTAACGGAATCGAAGACGGTGCAGACCAAGCAGTAGAGCCTGCCGCCTAACAGGAGTCTCAGCATCACCAAACGGTAGAGCCTGCCGCCTACAGGAGTCCCTGCATCTCGGACATGAAGAGCGCATACGCGTCGTCCTTGGTGGGCTTCTGCTGAGGCTGGGAGCCGCTCGCCTCGCCGCTCGTTTCTGCGGGGAACAAAAGAATGGCAGGTTAGCTCAGGTGTCGTAAGAACTTTGGTCATAATAGGAGGGGCATCTGAGTAGGGCTATTTTGAGGGCGTTGAAAAAGCGTGGTTAGTCTGAAAAGGTGTGAGAGCCAGCTGAATATCGTTTGGGATTTTCCGTAAAAACGGCGACGTATCTCAGGTGTCGTCAGGTCAGTTTCGTGAGGGACGTATGGCCAGACTGGGAACCCTGAATAACGCCAGCTCATTGCTGGTTAGGGACGTAGTCATGATTGTGAGACACCAACTCAGGTGTAGCTAAGCGGTCATGTTTCGTCAGTGTAGGAAGAAACCCCACGTCGACTAACTAGCCATTTTACACGTCTCACAAACTTTTACATCCACATTACTGAACACAATGGCGGATCCCGTGTTACACAAATACAACGTCACGTCTGACCAGAATGACAATGCACTAGCACACAGCCAAACTTGGAGCAAGAACGACCAATGCGTTCGAAAGATAAGCTCACTTATCATAGAGCCTCTGTGGCAGCTGCATGGCGGCATACATTCCCACGCCCTCCGTACCTCTGAGCAGCGTATGTATACTGTGTAGACCCGCCCTATTCCCCCAACCCAACGCCACACCAAGACCCAATCTTGCAAGTTGCAAAGTGCGGTGAAAAAAGCTACTATGCGTTTCAGACCCTGTGGAACAGTCCTTTTCGGCTATTTCTCGTTGTATATGTGTTTGATTTTAACCAAACTTTGGCATTGGTAGTTTGAGATCCCTACCTAATTTCTATCAATATGGTCTATTAACGAAAAATGAAAAATAAAGGCACTTGTCATTGACTGATAATGTTAAGGTCGTCAGAGCCCTGCTTAGAGGCTGACACAGGCTGGACGCTGTCTCTCCTCTGATTGGTCGAGACGCACTAGCACACTGCGGCTTGGCTCCGCCCACTTGCGGTCCAGCCTCGGGTCATGTCGGCGGCAGTCGCAGTCCGGCCGGCCGGCGTGCGGGCCGCGCACGCAGCGCAGCGGTGTGGAGCACTTGTTTGCACGTCATGAACTTTTAATAAGTTGTTCTACGACAAATAAGGACGGAGGAAGAAAGAGAAAGGAAAAGGAGACAAAGTGACAATGAGACGAACGGTAAACGTTGGCTAGTGGACAACAAACAATATGCATATAGCCGCTAGAGCAGAGACAGGAGACGAAGACGACAGACCAGAGACAAGTGACGAAGATAGAGATTAGGCTATAGACGAGAGACAATATACTATAAACGTATAGACGAGAGACTGACAAGGGGGAGTGAAGGACGGGAGATCATGAACTCTCGATATTGCATATCTACATTTTCAGATTGAGTCATCCTATATTTTTCCCTGTTTTATTGTTTTTCGGGCCTAAGATCTATCAACAACATTCTGAAAGCATTGTGGAAATGTCATAGAAAGATTTACCTATTATTTTCACCCCCCCAAAAAAAAATATTCTTTTAAACAAAAAAAAAAAAAACGAAATACCTACAAGTATCTATGTGGATATCTTCAATTAAATAAGGCCGTTGAATGCAAAGACAGTCCGGTGAATTCTGTCCCGTTACTCCTTGAATGCACAATGGCCTGTAGGAAAACGGCTGCGGAGAGGCTCGCTATAAATTATTGAAAATAATATTATTTTAAGTCTGCATAGGGAATAACATTCTGTAGCTAGGAGTGCTTATTGTTTTATTATACACCGTCGCGATCTGTATTGAATTCTTCATCCTTATTATCTCCGCGCGAGATACGACATTTACAATATTCACGCAATGATGCCTGCGTTAGCGTGTGCCTCGTTCCAGTCCGTCAGAGCTCCGCACCGCTCTGACCCCGAGCAGCGAATGACCGGTCCCGGTGTCGCGGCACAGTGGGCGGAGCTTAGCTGCGGCGCAACAGCTGACGCTGCAACGCCATGCTAGCCTCTACCACGGTGCAGAGTTTTCCGATCAATTTTTACCATTACAAGTCAACGACAAGTGCTTTTCATTTTGACATTTTGTTAAAAGACCATATTAGTAAAAATTAGGTAGGCCCTTGAAACACATTGTGTCAAAGTTTGGTTGAAATCAAGCGTATAGGTAACGAGAAAGGGCCAAAAAGGACTGTTCCAGAGGGTCTGAAATGCGTAGTAGGCAATACTGGCTGAAGTTTAACTGCAATAAACGGTAGTAAATGCAAAATAGTTTCTCGCATATCATTCCATCATCTTAAAACATTTCGATAAATTATTTCGTTAAATCGGATGCGTAACTGGCAACTGCCAACACCAGTATGGTAATTACGTACGAGTACCAAATGCCGTGAATAGGAAAGTACGACACTTTATAAGATTGGATCCATATACCGGCACGTTTAGCTGCTGGGTGTCCGCGCACTCGCCCCGGTTGTGGCTGGCAGGAAGTGTCCCTATCGGTCACTGTGTCAGAACATGTGATAAGACACATTTACGGCCTAGTTATCAGAGTTGCAACAGACTGTAAACTGTGGAGATGGTAATACTACGATACTATGGTACTGATACTGTGTCGGGGGGGGGGGGGGGGGAGGGGGGTCGTATTGTAAATGAAGTGTAAATGAAGAACAAATGTCCTGGATGGGGAAACATTCTGACTTGGATCCTATGTGTCACTGGCTCATGATTTAAAAAAGGGAGAGTTTGGCATGATGAAGTAAATGCCCAAACGAGGTCGAATCAGGTATTGAAGCGACATTCAAACTTGCTAATTTATTTCGAAAATGCAGTAAAAACTGTAGGCGTACTCAGTTCAACCGTCAACGAAACATGAAGGTGAAGGATAAAAACTATCAAAATGTATGGATTGACCACATTTGCCACGCCAAAAATTCGTATGTTAATTGCTCGAGGCCAAATATCATAATACCCGACAGGGGGTTCCTGCAGAGCCACCCACGTGCCATAAACTGACAGGCTTAGCGAACCACTGCCGGTACGGCGTATACCCCATATGGCCCCCGCACCGCTTGTGGTGAGGCCCTGGCTGTGTCGACGTGTCATTTCACCACATGGCTCTGACACATGTGACACATGGGGAAATGCTGACACGGATGTCGGTCGATATTGGCGGTGGCACAGCAGTCCTCGAAATGACACGTGGTGGAGGGTGGGTGGGGGAGCATTGTTATACATGTCCTAAAAATTTTACTTCAATCGTATAATTCAAGTGTATCATTACTCTAGCAATATTTACTTTTATCTACAGTGTTAAAAACACGAGCGTATTTGTACTTTTAAAAATGAGCATGCAAGCATGAAAAAACTATGGCTATAAGCACATTTGCTCACACTCCAAGTAACATCTTCCGCTCATGCGCACGATATTCTATAAACATTTGCAGCAACCACACACTAACATTTCACCGTCACCGCTACGTCAGCTAACACGTCATCCCAGGCCGCACGTCAGCTGATGCCTGGCTGACGGCGCGTAGGATACGTCACTGTTCGGGTGTGGGTAGCGGGGCCCGCACTTTCACCCTCTACCGCTCCCCGCCCTTCCCCATCCTCGACCGACACTCTTCCACGTCACACGGACCTGACCTTTCGGGGCCGAGAACGGGAGGCCAGTGACCTTTTCGAGTTTGAACGCCGTCACGGGCTGGTCGATTGCGTGATATAAAAATGTAGCGATCATAACGTGTAGATTTTCATATTATTTATATATGTACTTATATTGATATGATAGCATATTACATTGATATGCTCATAGGAATAAAAAATCAAACAAATTACATATAATTATTATACGTATAAGCATTGTAATCAGGGCTGCGGAGTCGGAGTCGGAGTCGGAGTCGGAGTCGGTCGGAGTCGACAGTTGTGACCGGAGTCGGAGTCGGAGTCGATTTTAGAAACCCGAGCCGGAGTCGGAGTCGGAGTCACCGAAAATCTGTCGACTCCGCAGCCCTGCTAGGTCTGCGGAGTCGGAGTCGGGAGTTGGAGTCGGTCGGAGTCGACAATTCTGCCCGGAGTCGGAGTCGGATGATGATGATGATGATTTGGTGTTTTAGGGCGCACCAGCAACGAGGCTATATGGCGCCCATATCTAACCAATCTTCCTCAAAGTCGGGGGTTAAAAATCACCTGAAGCCCGGAGGCCGTGATGAACGAAAAGAGGCGAAAGGAATCGAGAAAAGGGGAGTCGTCGCGGAGAAGTGTTCTCAAAGAGAGCTGGGGGCCACGCAATCCAAAAAACCGCAATCGCTCAGCGTCCAGTCTCGGGCACTCGACCAAGACGTGTCGGACCGAAAGTCGGTCACCACATCTGGTACAAATAGGCCTGGAGCCAACGCCGATAAGGAACCCATGGGTGCTATAAGTGTGCCCGGTACGAAGCCGGCAGAGGACCACCTCCTCGCGTCGCGATCTGCGTGAGGCCGACAACCAGGTAGCTAAACCTGGCTTGATACGTAAAAGTTTGTTACCGTGGGATTGGCTCCAGGCCTCCTGCCACTTTCCGAGGAGGAAAGAGCCCACCGCCGGTACAAAGTCCCTGGCGGGTAGAGGGAATCGGCGGGAGCACGGATACTGCGCAGCATGGTTCGCAGCTCGGTCCGCCCGTTCGTTGCCGTGAATACCGACGTGGCTAGGGATCCAGCAAAAAGACACCGACGTACCCTCTCGGTCGAGGGCTGTCACACGAAGAAGAATCTCCTGTGCGAGGGGGTCAGAAGGATAGAATTGTGACAAGGACTGGAGACCACTCAATGAGTCAGAAAGAATAACATATGACCGAGCGGGATTAATCTCGATAAAACACAGGAGTTTGAGGATAGCGACCAATTCGCAGGAAAAAACGGATGCATGTTTAGGTAAGGTAAAACACCGCACAGCGTCGCCGCAGACGAAAGCACACCCGGCACCGTCATCAGTCTTTGAGCCGTCAGTATAACAGGCTATGTAGTCAGAGTACCTTGAAATATGTTCCAGCGCACGAGCCTTTAAAAC